GTAGCAGCAATGTGCCTGAGAGACTAGGAAAGCGTTTTTCCATGGTCATTGATGAATGCATGGAAAAACACTACGGCTGTACACTTAGCTAATCTTAACAACGCGAACGCTGGCCCTGATTCATTTGTCCATCTTGAAGGTTTATCGTCGTGTTACTGCCAGCGAGAGGTCGTGGATGTGCTGTGGGATGAGGAAGTTCTCAAGTTTCAGTCATTGGTGTGGTCTCAATGGTGCTTACGAAGATTCTTGGAGTTGGTGGCGCAACTCATCAAGAGAGTGAGGTAGTAGCTTGCTTTGCCAGTTAAAAGGTAAACCCAGGAACTTAAATGAATCTGTCGGTTGTACCGATGGTAGCTTCATCGATCCAACTCGTAGGTCAGTGGTGTCCTGTATCACATTCTTTCTGGATCTATCGATGACTATATTTACGGTCTTAGTTTTCATTTGGTTTATGGAAAAGTTAACAAGCTGTCGATCGTTGTAAATAGCCAGCAATCGATCTTGTAGTGTGTATTTGGTTTCCGCTACGAGGATGACGTCGTTTGTGTCTGCATTATAATCAACCGTGCCTGTGAGTGACATCCAGCGCACGAGACAAGCTTTTGAAGGGCTTGTTCGAGCCAGGCGCTTGAACTCCCGATTGCAACCTGTGCTATGCGTCGACCAATGTTCCAAAGGGGAGGCAGAATGCGAATTTACGTGACGAAAGAGTGCACACAAATGCGGACTAGGTTTTTGTACATACGGAGATCCGTGGAGACACATATACAAGGTGAACACCGATGCACGCGAATACCGAGGGCCGGGATAGATGTACGCATGCACGTACACAGACAGAGAACAGTGCATCGTCAAAATGCCGTGGCGCATTAACATGCAAAGATTGTGGGTCAGGCAACTTTGGTAAGTCGCAAAATCCAGCTACATACACACTATTATTTCAACAAACGAACATTCCGTGACTATTGCACAATAAACCTTAACGTGGTCAAATTTAGAGTTTCAATTAATAATGACTGTTATGGCCCAAGTGGTCAACATGCAAATTACAACGGTGCCAGCATACGGAGATCTGGTTCCAAACGTTTTATTTGGTGAAGGTTCACGCTATGAGGAACCGTTCAAATTAGAGTCGTGGTGAGTATACTGAGGTGGTCAACTTCGAGGTTTCCACTTCACATGTAAAAGTGAGATACCAAACAATACAAACTGAAAACACTTGAAAAAGAACTATTACACTAAGTATTTTGTTATGCTTGGATTTTGAGGTCGTGGTTAAAGGAGAAAACTAAACGGGACTGAAAGGAATTAGAAACTTACAACACAAACACCATTGAGGTCAGCTTTTCGCCATGTCCATTAGTGTACGAAACTAGACGTGTCCAACCTACTTCGGACCTCCGACTGGAAGCCAGAAGGAACCAACCAACACTAAGTTCGGAGTGAGGGACTTCATTTATCTTGACTAAGCCATCGTACGGGCTCTCCTTCCCTACTTACGACCTAGTCCCGAAAATAATACAAGTTGCTGGGGCCTGAGAGCTGGCTTGCGCAACAGATGGCCAAGTTATTGAAGCCTAGTATTTGTTGAGTGCTTAATCCAATCGTCCTGCACTAAATACAAGTGGTCAAACACATTCATTGCTCACGTTGTGTTCCCACCAAACATGAGCTCAGCAATAATCCAAGATAACTAACCAGCTTATGTCTGTTGAGCGAATAAGCCAGGTTTCGTAACCATACAAGAAGGCTGAACGTTTGGCTGTAATGTAACTACTGCTATCCAGAGCGACAATTATGCCAAGCTAACGCCGTTTATGGCATAGATTGGCAAAAACACGTCGGGCTTGCGCTATAAGGTTTATGGTTACACTTCCTATCCTACGGGCGCTGATATACCTGCTTATATACATTAGATTCTGGAGGACGCCGAACAGATCGTCATCAAGTGTTAGCGCAGGGGTTGGTCCTTGCCAATCTTGGAGAAAATGTTTTCGTTCCAAGACAGTAAAGCATAGCCCGAAACACTTGACAGCCAGAGCTAACTTAACCAGCGCAACTAGCGCTTTCGTCGAATTACCCTAAGTCAAGAAGTCCATCACGCTATGCAATTTTAAACTTAAGTAGTGTCCAGGGAACGCTGTTTCCATGAGTTTGTCGGCAGGGAAGTTAAGTGGGATAGGTAACCGCGGGCAAAATTTCCCACACCGCTGAATATATTGAAGTGCTACGACAGTCCGCTTACAATTATCCACCCGAACGTCACGTGAGCACCGACAGCGCGTGGTCAATATTTTTGCCTTATTTTGCATGCTTTTTGCTTCAAAACCACTACCTGAAATCAGGTTTCAATAGGGAAACAATGTTGCGCACCAATCCTAAGCCACACCCGAATGTAAATTGCCAACAAGGACACGGCATGCGAGTATCGTCCCAGTTCAACAGCTACACACTAGGAGGTCTACTGACCTCTCCGTAACCAACGCCCCCAGCTCCTACTCAAAGCTAAGAGTGAACAACAGCATAAATTTTTGTGCCAATGCTCGTCCATTCCCAAATCGCCGTACAGTTACGTAAACCGCCTTCTACTCGTCAAACACGGTGTCATTGCACCGTTGTCCAACGCCAGGGCTCAGAAAAACAATGAACGTGGTCGCAGAAGTCCAGTACAGTACGCATCTGCATTCACTGTTCCATCAGTATTTACAATAATACCGCTTTTGCCGATCTCACTCTCAACGTACTTCAAAACCGCTCAGTTCACGTCGGTGAAGGTCCTGGCGAAACGCATATACCTGTGATCGACGGATTCCTCAGGCGCAGATATTTTCCAACTTAAGCTCCTGTGAACGCGTACTGCAGCTCTAGGATTACCACTAGCAGAAATATTCACCCATTTCTTTCCGCATTGTGAGGACCCAACAGTTGGAAATGTGGTAGAAGTAAGCTAATCCTCAAAGGCGATGCGCGTTAAGACCCTGGCCATTACCGATCAATAATCTTCCTCCCCAGGATTTCCTGCGTGCTGGAATCGATCATCGCCGATGGTTTAATGGACCACAATTAGGTCCAGAAACTGCTTTTAGATTGCCAGCATAGCTACCGGTGGTAACGGTTATGACTGAGTAATCTGCTTCTCGAACGAGATAGCTGGACAACTGCTGCTGACACCGGTGTAAAATAACAGGCTACCTTTTTGGATTTAGCTAAATATTTTGACAGTCGAGCACATCATTCTAACGCACAAGCTTCTGTCTAGCGGTATAGCTGTAGCGCTAAGATACTGGATCCAAAACTACTCTCACTGCTGTACCTTCCAATTACGCGTCGACGGAGCGCTGCACTTCCTTATCCTTGTGAAAAGCGGTGTTCCAAAGAGCTCTGTTCATGGACCGGACTTCTTTCTATAGTTTATTGAAGATGTCACAACATAAGTCGAGTCCTCGTTTCCGCCATATGTCGACGCGGCCGATCTGCGGCGAGCAATTAATATCCGGACGTTACCCGCGCACTTAAACTGGACCTCAACCGTCTGTATTAGTGGCGTATAAAAAATGACCCTTTTAACACTTCAAAATGTCGCTTCTTCTCCACCTGCCTCTCCAATTCTCCAATTTACTTCCTAGGAATTCTGTTTTACAGGTCTCGTCAGTGGAAAGTGATTTGAGTATCATCACCCAAATCAATGTTCTCTAGCTGCTTTCTGCTGAAAAGTAGCCTCTTATGTTAACCGCATATTGGGTTTGTAAACGCGTGCGTCTGGCCAAACTGACTTGTGGGATTTCCGCCTTCTCCTAAACGTCTTCCGTTACCCTCACTTTGAGTTTGCTATCCAGGCTTAAAAGCCTTCGTTGCTCAACGACCAGCATAAGTTGGAAACCCCATAACGTCAGGCGATGAAAGTGGTACAATGTCTCAAACAATTAGATTATCCTCAACGAACTTATCGCCTTAGTCTCTTCTCAACAAAATGCCAAAGTCTTCAGTTAAGATCGTAAAGCGAACGACTAATTTGCGTCCGGAAAATTGCAGTGAAAATTATGTGTCATCGGTACTCTAAAAGAATGCAAATGTCCAGGCAATATTTTCGTAAACCTGGAATTCCAAGTAAGAAATATGAACGCAACTGTATGCACCGAACCTGTTGGTTCGCACTGCATGATTACTTCATGATAATATTCTTGAGTATGCAATATCCCACACTATTGTTTATCAGAAATACGCACAGTTTTGTATCACAGACCGCTCACGAGCTGATCGTACAAAGCTGAACGACCAGTACATAGCTAAGAGAATCTAGAATGCTCTATTAATGACTCTACAGCGCAAAAATAGGAAAAGTCTACAGAGCTATTGAAAACATATATTCAACATCGTCGCTAGACAAACTAATTTTTCATTTCATGTTTGCTACAGCAACTAACTGGGAATAAACCCCATCGCATAAAACAAGCTTACTTAGCACTGCGGAAACATTATACGTACTATAACAATCACTGACCTATGTTTTCAAGGTAAATAGTACAGTCGTTGCAATTATTTTAGCCGATCGTCACCCGGGAAGAAAATGGCTACACCTTGTAAAGCCTGCTTACTTCAACCATACGCTAATCTGGTTATCAATAGTATTTATTAAAACAACTTTATTAATTAATTTATGGTTGTCTTTTAATGCAACCTATCTTATCCTATGATATATCTTAATATGTACCTATGAACGAAGAAAATCGAATATAATTGTTAGCTTAAGCCTTGTGCTTTTTATCAGGTTAACATTATAAGTGGGCGTCCTACAAGCTACAAACATCGTACTTATATTTCACAACGGAGGTAGATTAATTTTCGCGATTTCCTACCAGGCGTTTATGCAATTAATGTTCATCAGCTCATTTGGTATTAAAGTTTTATCACCTTATTGGGCTTGGTGTCTAAAATCTTCATTGTCTCCAATCATGTACTTGCAGCAGGCTAACTAACTAGACATTTAGTAGAAGCTATCTTCATCTGAACTCACCCAATCCTGGAGTGGTCGGTGGCACAGTTGTTGTGGTAGTGGTCGTAGTGAAATTCGGTTCAACTTAAATAGTAAAATAATCGGAAGGGGTAAACGATTAAATAAAATGGTCAGAAAGCAGTGTGAAATCACAGATACCAAGTTATTCTTCACACTTTCCGCAGTAAGTGGCGTACCAATGTTTAGTAATACCGTTCGTGCAGAAGCTGATGCCAATGCGATCAACAAAAGTGTGCATAATCACATATATTAAGCAACGGGTTGTTTCATTTACTTAGGAAACTTTATTTCTGACTGAACATTGTTTATATCTAGCTTCATTTCTGCTAGTTACTTGCTGGCATATTTGCAAACAAGGTGCAATCTGGAGTAAACATCGCATGACAGCGTTTTGCAGCCTAAGTAACTGTGGTATGTTGCTTTTATTATGCGGTTGAATGCAGGAAAATTTACTCAGTTGTTAAATCAAAAGATAGTTAATTTAAATTGTAGATTATCAAGTATTGTGAAAATATGTTGGCGTATTTTGATCATTATAATAAACTGCAGTATGACCACAATTCAATCTACTTTGATTCCTGAAGTGCAGTTCGCCTCCATTTTTATACCTATCTTACTTGTAAAATACTTTTGGGTGACGCTGGCGCAATTGGCGTAATCGTGTGAGCATTCCGCCGTGCTATTCAAGTTAAATAAAATTGTTGTTTAATTTTCAATCTTAGCTTACAATTTGTGAATTACGTAAGAGCAGGTTTGAAGTGTGCTACTCTAAAAAGTCACCTTTCGTTCAACTTCGTAATCTGCTATGAACGAACAGCTCAGAATAACGGTAGACGATTGACTTCATAGTGTCGTTGGACACCAGAAATACTAGCACTTTTATTGCGTTTATGACAGATATGTTAATTAGAAAACGACCGAATTTCGCAAAGTTCATATTATATTTACCATACCCTGCTTGATAGCTAAAATGATAACAGTCTAGCGTGTGATTTTTACGGCGATACGGTTATTTATGTGTCTCACTCTATGAATCGTCCGGGAATGCGTTCTCACACACGGCATCACGTTGCGTCAACAACATAAGAGGAAAATAATTTATTTATTATAACACAATGAAAGTAATGCATCTCTGTTAAAGTTTTCGCAGCTGAACTAGTTCAAACCATGGAAAGCGAAAGCTTTAAATATAATGTTGTGACACAAATGAGTATTCTAGGCTTGTGGAAGAGAAAGACCCAATTTGTATGTAGCTAGCTCTGTTTCGTTGACAAGTGTGGCCACCGCTCATTTTCAAATGAATGGCGGTCATGTTAAAATTGGTTGCCGCAACCTACTCACGTAACCAGTACTTCGGCACGATTCATTCAAATAGGTGCACCTATAGTTTTTACACCGACAAGATAAACAAATAATGAAGACGGTAGAGCGTCTACAACAAATACATCCTTTCACTAAAATATATGAAACTGTGTAGACATGCTGGTCACTTTTCCTTTACGTCTTAAGTAAGCACGCCAAGTATTAGCAAAACTGATGATACCTCGATTTCCCCATAGTGGATAAATGCCTGTAAACTGCGAAGTTTTGATGAGGGAAGTAGGATTCATAGCTCTGTTAAAGTGCATTTCACAAATCAGCTAAAACGAAATGCAATATTAATTACACCCATCCATGTGCGAAAAAGCTGCAGTTAATCTGCTTACCTAAGTCACTAAAACAATTAAGTAAACACAATTTTTATTTTAATGCAGCATCACATGTGACCTTCATTTTATCAAACATTTCAACAGATAAAGAACCCACCAAAGCTGTAGAAACAGGAAGATCGCAAATGAATGTATAGATTTAGTTTTTAACGTTTACTATCATGTTAAGTACAGAGTTCCTACTGCTACCGTGTAGAAACCCGTTGTGATCACAGCAGTGGGCGCAGTAATCGACATTTTGTGCACACGTCACAAGGAATTACATGAGCAGGACGCAAGTAAACAGGCAAACATTGTATACTAATATTCCGACTGCAAACCAAACAACTGCTTTTTCTTATGTGGTGCTTGGTACATTTAAAAATGAGTCATTATATACATGGTTAGAATTAGAAAAACAGGTATAATGTACAGTTCTAATCACTCAATTTATTACGGTTAACATGTTCCACGGATGAGAAGTAAACAACTTGAGGAGACTTGATTTTCATTAGTAGTACGTACCACCAGAGTGGTATCAACACAATGCATTTCACGACGACGGCAGCAAAAGTTACCAAGTTCATCCCTATCTTGTATCGCATTAATGGTGGGAGAACCGACTGTTTATTATTTCCTTAAAACATGGAGAGCTACAGTTAATTAGCTTTTAAATGATGACCCACGAATTGTACCTTATGAAGGTTTCTTGCTAAGCCTTCCTACAGTTTTATGTGTGTTTTGCCAAACATATGAAATATAGTGCCCATCAAGTAGATATATCAGTCGTAGGCGGATCGATATGAATTTTGCAGCTGACGCAAAGCGCAACTTGAGTGCATGAGTCGGCAAGACCTAACTGTTGTACATACCTTTCCCTTCAGTTTAGTGAACAGCCAGATGGTTGATCTAAAACAACCGGGATGTTAACTACTACACTAGAACAGAAATTTCAACTTTCAAATTGATTTTATAAGTGATTTCCAAACATATTCCTTCAAGTGAGGCACAGGTGAATAATTGACGGTGCAATAATTAGCGTTCTGAGAACAGCGGTTTCCATTGTCGGATAACTCCATAAATTGTGATACTTACCACTCGTATATGAAGCCATCACCTTTTCTCTTACTATTCCCGGCGGCGAAGCAAATACCACCGTAATCGTGTTCGAATACGAAAGGATACTGGTTGGTTTGAAGTCATCGTAACCCCAAATGCGATAAATCTCGTTGGCTGCACACGTACTCCCATCCAACACTCGAAAAGAAGAGAAAGATGATTCCAACTGAAAGGTGTTTATAGTTATTAAATTAGTTGAACGGATTTTGAATGGAAATTTGAAACTGAGTTATAGAATTGGGAAATCATTTACGATTCCATTAATAAGCAATTAGTGAACTTTACATGCAGGTCAACGCAAAATAAGCACCGACGCTAAATGGTTGATATTCCTTAAAACCCGTGTATTTAGTACTTACAAAAACGATTTAAAGAAGTTGGGAAAATTCAAGTAACGTTCAATTAAACTAGCGTTAGTTTGTTATGTTATCTCAAGACTATCTAGGACATTGTACTTTCAATTGGTTAATAATTTTATTAATCCAGATTAATTTATAATATGCACCGAATATGTACCGTAAGTTTTTCGACTTGAAGCAGCACAACTTTCTTGGTATTAACGGTTATCTTCCATATACACAGCACGTTTGGAACTTCGCTTCCATTAAAAGATAGCTGACCAGACGCATTTGTTAGATTGCTTCCACAGTTGTCTGCAAGAAATATTACGAAGTTAATTTTACTTTTGTGGTGTACTGCAATGGTTATACTTGCATGGCAATAAGGATATATCATGGGCTATTATTGTGGAAGCTTTACCTGTACTTAAGAAGAAACAGGAAGTGTAGTACCCGTACTCTTTCGTATTTTAAGTTCTAATGCGCACTTGCTTTAGCTGTTCATCTGCGAATTATGTATAACAATTGAAATACCAATATAAGGTTAATGGAAAGAAGAAATACAAGGTATGTGCGGAACAAACACGTCCGTTTTCCTGCATCGCCTAAGTTTGCTACCATTAAGCTTGTTCATACATCTTTAACCTTATGTGCTACAAAATATTAAGCATATCATATTATCATCAAAGAAATGTTATTAACTTATATAACCCGAGTAGGAACTGGTTATTGTGGTAATATCCCGCTCATCCTTTTAAATCCATGAACACAAGAAACCTCAATTTTACAATTACCCGTTATTGTCTCCTTGAGTAAACAGCAATCGCGTAAGAATTTCCTTGCTGTTGCCAATAATGGTTAATACAAAAGAATAAGGAAAGACGGACTGTCAGTGTTGCTTGAGTGTTTACTCGACAGTCCTATAATTTGTTCGCTGTTTTTCATTATAGAACGTTTTCAGATTTCTACCGCTGGTTTATCAATTTCGTCCTGCTGTTCTAGCATTTTACTTTACCTGTATCATTTTTACGACGCCAGTATTATTCCACCTGAGCGAAGTCTGAAATTGTTTCCATTTGCTGCGCTAAAACCGCCTAATGTAGTAAGCGGTTGAAAATTGAGAAACAAGATCAAACGAAGTTTATCATAGCGTTTTGTTAGAAGCAGACAACATCGTGCTGGCCGGAAAGCTGGGCTCAAAATATACACCTTTAATAAAATAACTTTACCGTAATACTCGCTAGCAGTATGCGTATCTGAGTGTGTATGGTTTCTGAAATCAGCGCCACTTTGTAACACAAAATAAAAACATTATACTTCCGCAACAACCTTGTTATAATCTAACTTAATTATAAGGTAATATAGTTCGCTGGATTCCCTCTCGTTAGGTTCGACAGCCCTGGAAAGTCACCGGATCGCTTAGGGATTATTATCATCGATCTCAACCAAATTACTATTAAAAGACGGCTCGTTCCGCCTAATGAAATGAGCAGTATCAGGTCGCTATCTGATTCTTGTACACGTTTTAAATTTGGTCTTACTTTTTACATCTTCTTCATGACAAGATTTCAGTACACCCTACATTTCACGACTACTTGTAGCCAAAACGAAAATCATCAGTATGGTACGTTGTGTGATATCCTTCAAATATTTCTCATGCACATTTTGATATTACTTATTAATTTCATATATTATCCTGGTTTCAATTAAGTGGTAATTGTTAAAAATTATATCTACCTATATATTTAATGGACAGTTTATTTGATCCAACAATAATGCGACCGACCTCATTTGTTGACATAATCTTCACGTAGTCACAATAGACGGTCTGCCCATGTGCACTAAGTATATTTCTTAATGCATTTGCGCTTGAAAACTATTGTAACGTTATATTAATCATACATGACCATACCTTATAATAATAATACTGAATTTACGTAATTAGGAAGGTATTTACTAGTTGTGGGTCACAAATGAGACAAGGTTTTTGAACCATAGCAGTCAGAATTGATATGTGAATTATGCGGTAGGCTCACATATTTGTGTTGTGCTTAATTCGATGGGGGGTTCATATGCTAAGTTTGGGGTATTACCTAGTCAAGTCATAGACACTTCTATTGAACACTGAATGACTTCTTCATCTGGCCAAACCTATACTGAGACGGTCCAGTGTTTAATAGATGTATCTGGTGGTAGTGACAATGTATGTGTCTGATGACATCGTGACACGAATAAACAAAATCTATGATAAGAGACCTTGACTAACATTGATCAATGCAAGCAGCTGAGATTTCAACTATAAGTTTACATGAAAATAACTTAGTATACAGCATTTTAAATAAATACATTATGCTATATCTTTTACTTCTATGTCAACTTTTGACAAAAACAATCTTTTATATGCGATTTGCCTAGTATAAAGTCCAAAATGTAAAATTTAACTCGAAAACAACGGTGTAGTTTGGCTTTAGTTTGACTTTGGCCATGTTCAGTAAAATGTGTTGCAATTCGGGATAATTGTCCTCAGCTGTATTTATTTCGAATTTGATGTTTGACCTATCTGATTGCTAATTGGAGTATTGGGAAACCGGAGTGTGGTATCACAAACAAGATGCCAGTTAACGATTATCGGTACAGGAGCTTAATAACTTTACACGAGAAAATAGTTTCTGTTTTATAATGTTTTCTGGATGAAACAGAAAATGATGGTGCATGCGGTATGCTTATATGTAGGTTATATTCATCCTTAACACAGACGGGAATGAAAAGTTGCTTGTTGTACCTAACAGTTTTGCAGCGATAAGCCAAGTAGATCACGCTTAAAATAAAAGCTTAAATTTACGTCGAAATAGTTATAGTGGTTAAAGTTAACATTATGCGTATTAGTCAAAATACTGCGAATATCCAAGCTGCTGACTAAGCAATCCCTATATAAAATTACAGGCTTATTTTTGTACATAACATGCCTACAAAATACTGTTATTTAAAAGGGGGAACCAGTCCATAAGCTTTTAGCTAAAGGAAGTTTGATCCGTCGACGAAAGCCAAAGTAAACTGATGTTTAATGGTCTCTGTCGTATGCAGGCTTGGTATAACAATGCTGATTGGTCGAAATTTGCAATGTGACAACGAAAAATGAGATGACATCTCACATCAGGGATTAACCTTCCATTGGCTAATTTTCTGAAATTAACAGGACTGAACGTTTTGTTGTTAGAATAGTCCGATATAGTTATTCAATAATCTTACGTCATATGATAAAGTGATTTCATGCTTTCCTTATGATTATGATCTAACGAAAAATACTTGCTGTGGTCAATGAGAAAAAAACATAAAGTTAACAAAAACATACAGTTGAGACTGAAATGATGGGAGAAGAGTGACCACCGGCATGTAATTCTGATTTGTAAGTTCCAGTGAAGGGACCAACTGGGATGATGACTTAGCAGCACCTTCAATTATTCCGATGGATTGGGGGTGCTCTGAAGTTCAGTATCGTATTGGAAGTAAATGGAGCATTTTATACTTATCCCCATTACAGAGTGGGAAAGAACACAAACAAATATCAGGCTTTCAGCGACTTATAATCGGTTTGGACAAATCCAAGCGCTTGTTTACTAACGCCTGTTGTTTTGTCGCTTACTCTGCGGTTAATGTTATAAACCCAAGCTTAAGCTATTTGCTTACTTCAGCATAATTGCGTTATGTAACGGAATGGAACTTATATGACACGCGGATATAACCAATAAAAAAGTAGTTTCCGAATAAACGCCGGAATCCGGGGTTACTTACCGAGTATGCGGTTTTGCGCTGAAAAGAAATGCATGATATGTTGTAAACTATGATTTGTGTGTCGGGCTTGTGTATGAGGTATCGGAAATACACATTTAAAAAAAGAGTTAATGAACCCATCTAATTAGGAAGAACCGAGAATAATAGTCATTGATAAAACTTACTGCTGGGTGGGGGCTGTATTGTAGGATCTGTAAGCATGAAGGTAAAAGATTTCAGTATAAAAAATTTCGGCAAAATGGCATAGGAAACCGAAGGACCAAACCGCAGCTATATCATTACCATTACAGTTTGTGTTCGAAATAATCCGATAATCAAATATGAGAGTTTCGCAAGACTTTGTAACGCTAGTTCAGATATACCGCAATATTGGGTAAAGCACAGTAGTCTCTGTTAGGAAAATTTGTCATGTGAAACTTATTGTAAATTTGTATACACTCACCCTTTCCAGTAACTGTAATTTAGTGGGTAAATGCAATGGAAATTATAAGTTGGCGCATTAGTATTGAATTTGATAACATCACAATTTGTTTTCTTTATGTAACACAAACAGTACCTAATGAGTTTCGCATGCCTTATTCTAAAATAGTAAATGAATATAGAATTAGATTCAACTTCACGTCCTGATATATACAATAAATACTAAACAATATAAAATTGTTTCTTTCCTAAAACCCTGGGGAAGTTATAAGTTATTTTTTACAATGGAAAATGAAAACAATCCCATACCCTACCAGTGGCTGCACCTACCTCTCCCAAAAGCTAATGTTTCATGCTTGTCATTTCATTTTGCTTTTGCGTCACACAAATATTCCAAAGCAGTTTTACTGTCATGTTATACAAACGCTAAATATATACCATAAATATTGTGGTTACTTTTGTTATAATCTCCTTGTTTATGGCCCAAAATTAAATCATCTTATAAAATCATAGGTGCCACTCGCATTTACTTGCTGCGCATGCAGGTCTTAGTTAATTTAGTGGTATTAAACTCAACCTAAAAATTACAAAATATCCATGAATAACATGTATATAATAGTTACAGGGCGCAACCAGCTAAAAAGATGTATTCAAAATATCCAACGCAATGCACGCACACACGTATGGAATGAACATGGGGAGCGGAAGCAGTATAATAAACGAAAAGTGGCAAAACCTGATCCACTCCACGAAATCGGGTATATGAATGTACGTTAAGTAGTTAGTTAACAAGTAGATAAAGAAAAACTGTAATATAAATTTAGACAAAATTATTTATAAGTAGGTAGAAATCAGGTACACATCATTTCCACAATGCAGAATAAAAGGTCAAAAATTAGGTAAAAGAGCAAAATTTTACAAAGAAAGCCCAAAACTTTGCAAAGAGAGTCCAAATGTTGCAAAACCCTGTGCGATTCGCCAGCCGCTCAGAGCCAGTCCTCTGACCATAAGTGTCCTCTCATTGGCCGGATGCCAAGGTTCGGTGCGTTAGTCTGGGAGGTGAGCACGCTGCCCGTTGACTGGGTGAGACTTGTGAATAAATCTTACAGGCATGCAATTGGGCGGTGCAACGGGCTTGTATGCGCCCCTCTCACGTCCGAAACGATGAATCACAATTGGTCTGAGAGCACTGAACAGCTGATACATAAGCGCATGACCGAAACCATGTCTATGATTTTAACTTCGTCGGCATGCCTTCTCGCGTTCGACAGAGTATCTCATCAGACATTGGTGACCGAGTTTTGGGCGCTTTCGTCAATGGTGATGACTGGCAGCTTGTGGCAACTGTGAACAACGTCAAATATCAAACAGCCTACTCCTGTATTCGTCGTTCTCTTGATCAGAACCCGAGTACTACGCAGGCGCGCAGTCGTAAGCGGATTTTGTCGGAGTAAGACGTAGACGACATCCTGGATTGGATTGCAAGGGACTCAACTCTTACGCTACGGGAAATGCGAGTACGAGTACAAGCAGAATTGGACAAGGACATTTCGAAGTCAACAATCGTACGGCACCTAAATGGTCGATTGTTAACTATGAAGAACATCTATCAGGTTCCCGAGAGAATGAACAACGTGCGGATCAAAGGGATACGCAGGGAATTCGTTCAGCAGTTTCCCCAACTTGAGAGCGATGGCAAGTTCTTCATTTGGACTGACGAAGTGAACTTCAACATTTACTGCAAACGGACTCGTGGTGTGGCGCCCAGGGAAGTGAGGGCCTGTTGCAAGTTGCCAACAGTAGAGGCCACAATTTGTATTTAATCGGTGCATTCACTATGGAAGGGAAAGTGTCGATGACAACCCGGAGAGGCTCATTCACAGATCCCCCATCTCTCGAATGGTTGCGATGCTATTTAGAAAACCTGAAATGGGAGATGGATCTCCGGCAGGTTGTCGTGGTAGGTGATAATGCACCATGTCACACAGGACTAGATGAATTGTCGTCAGTAAATGGATACGATGGAGTAACCATGCTGAGATTGAGCCCATACTCTCCGTTCCACAATCCGATCCAGAATGTTTGGCAGGTGGTGAAGGTCAGAGTGAAGAATGAGATCAGAGTGCACTACGACGAACTTCTGGCCTGGGATCTTCAGAAACTCTTGACGCAGATGGAATGGAGGCCGCAGTTCCTTGAACGCATTGCCAAAGTAGCCACCAAGGATAACAATGTTGTGGGATGTCGTAATGCTATTCAGCATGGACATGTACATTCTACTAATTGTCTATAAAAAGACATGTTTTGATCACGTTGCTGGCCTATTTTTGACGAATCTGGTTGTATAGCACTCACTGGCAGCGTGTAGGGACGTGTGAGTATTCACAGTGTTTGCAAAATAAGTTTACACATATGTAAGTTTGTGTGTTCGTACGGGGGTTGAAGCGATATCTGATGTCCAGCGTGAAGGAGTGACACGGGACCGGCTTCGAGTGAGCCATGCCCGAGTGATATGTTCAAATTATGGTTCTTTTCGTGCTGGCATTTGCTGCGCCGTGCTCTTTCAAGATCAGCCTGAAATAATGCAGATACAATTTCTTTGTTCGGAAAACTAGTATGTTTGGAAAGCGCTTTGTAGGACCAAGTGAGCTTGCCGGGTAAAGCAACCGTCAGATATATCGCAGTATGGGATATCAGCGTGTATATTTGAATAGTAGCGACTAAGAAATTACTGCGCACCTCATGCCAGAATTTTCCAGGAGTGAAAGAAACTGATAGATGCGAGTTCGCAAACACGTCCATTGGCAGACAACATGCCGTCATTGAAGTTGAACGAATGAATCGCGTGTTTACTAGAAACCTTCTCCGTGCGATGTTTGTCCACTGTATTTGAGTGCACTGGCGCGTTAATTCGTTAGCCGATTGGAAGTTGGTCTGTCAAATTCGGAACCCACATCAGTTTGTTTGGAAGCTGTACTTTAGATTTAAATGCAACCATTGCTACAGTAAGCCCAATTTAATTTGCGTGCTACTAAGGCCCGAATAACTGTCCAGTACGACTTGGTTACTGTCTTACTTGTTCGCAGGATCCCTCGTTTGACCCAATAACGCGCGTAAACAAATGGGGGTGTAGTTGGTGTGGATACAGTGGCGTAGCAACTATTTTGCTATCCGTGTGGGACGTAAAATTGCTGCCGCTTTCGTAGTTGGAAGGCCTGCAATAGCAATTGTCATTCAATATTTCGTTCCACATAACAACATTCACAGATTTTATTTATGGTGCAGTATTGAATGCAGCTATTTGAATTGTTACAATACTCGTGTTTAAAATATACACTTGAAGTGCACGGAACCTCCGGAATGTTCTTTCCTGTAATATCCGGTTTACCGCATATCGGGTCGTGTCACACTGCTGCGCGCTCCGACGAATGCTGAGATCGGGACTTTTGACACTTCACTGACTATTGCGCAAACTGAGCAGTCTTCCGTGGCGATGAGAGGCAGTCCGGTTCTCTTCATGTCACACACACTCTCAGTTTGCTCGAACTTCTTTAATAGTTTAAGCAGTTACCGAGCGGTGACGGGACGCATTCCTGTGTTCATTGCATTGTAGTTTCTTGAAGCTGATGCGGCATTTAAACCGCATTCACCGTATAGCCGAATAATCCGCGCGCGCTGAGTAATAGGAACGTTACGTGATCCCGACTGCATTGTCTGCTCGTGCTCCATTACCTACGTTTCAGTACCATTGACAAGAGTTGCAATGTTTAACCTCGTCCTCAGCTGAGCTGCCATCACGTGCGCATATGCACGTTGCATTTTCGGTTGCCTAAGCCGACTTAGCCGCGTAGCCACCGCGACACATATCGATCGCTCAAACGCTTACGGTTGGCCATGACATTCACTCAGCGCGAAGTTAGCTGACAGCCGGAAACATGTTGTGGCTCGCTGGCTGATCAGTAGCCTCATACCAGTGTGTCTTTAGACGTTAGGCATTTTCTCAGCTGAGCCCTGCACTAAATCACTTGTCTGCCGAGAATTCCATACGTCCGCACCACTAAGGTAAGAGAGAAATTCATGTCTCTGCACGCGCAGTAGCATGTTGAGAATTTCGCTAAATATTGGATGGCTATTGGATGTTTGGGACAACAAACGTAAATGATCGGCGTTCACCATAAAGAAGCCACTGTAGGAAAATGGACGCTAATCGGCCTTCTTCAATCAGACTAACTGTACACTTTAAACACGAGTATTGTAACAATTCAAATAGCTGCATTCAATACTGCACCATAAATAAAATCTGTGAATGTTGTTATGTGGAACGAAATATTGAATGACAATTGCTATTGCAGGCCTTCCAACTACGAAAGCGGCAGCAATTTTACGTCCCACACGGATAGCAAAATAGTTGCTACGCCACTGTATCCACACCAACTACACCCCCATTTGTTTACGCGCGTTATTGGGTCAAACGAGGGATCCTGCGAACAAGTAAGACAGTAACCAAGTCGTACTGGACAGTTATTCGGGCCTTAGTAGCACGCAAATTAAATTGGGCTTACTGTAGCAATGGTTGCATTTAAATCTAAAGTACAGCTTCCAAACAAACTGATGTGGGTTCCGAATTTGACAGACCAACTTCCAATCGGCTAACGAATTAACGCGCCAGTGCACTCAAATACAGTGGACAAACATCGCACGGAGAAGGTTTCTAGTAAACACGCGATTCATTCGTTCAACTTCAATGACGGCATGTTGTCTGCCAATGGACGTGTTTGCGAACTCGCATCTATCAGTTTCTTTCACTCCTGGAAAATTCTGGCATGAGGTGCGCAGTAATTTCTTAGTCGCTACTATTCAAATATACACGCTGATATCCCATACTGCGATATGTCTGACGGTTGCTTTACCCGGCAAGCTCACTTGGTCCTACAAAGCGCTTTCCAAACATACTAGTTTTCCGAACAAAGAAATTGTATCTGCATTATTTCAGGCTGATCTTGAAAGAGCACGGCGCAGCAAATGCCAGCACGAAAAGAACCATAATTTGAACATATCACTCGGGCATGGCTCACTCGAAGCCGGTCCCGTGTCACTCCTTCACGCTGGACATCAGATATCGCTTCAACCCCCGTACGAACACACAAACTTACATATGTGTAAACTTATTTTGCAAACACTGTGAATACTCACACGTCCCTACACGCTGCCAGTGAGTGCTATACAACCAGATTCGTCAAAAATAGGCCAGCAACGTGATCAAAACATGTCTTTTTATAGACAATTAGTAGAATGTACATGTCCATGCTGAATAGCATTACGACATCCCACAACATTGTTATCCTTGGTGGCTACTTTGGCAATGCGTTCAAGGAACTGCGGCCTCCATTCCATCTGCGTCAAGAGTTTCTGAAGATCCCAGGCCAGAAGTTCGTCGTAGTGCACTCTGATCTCATTCTTCACTCTGACCTTCACCACCTGCCAAACATTCTGGATCGGATTGTGGAACGGAGAGTATGGGCTCAATCTCAGCATGGTTACTCCATCGTATCCATTTACTGACGACAATTCATCTAGTCCTGTGTGACATGGTGCATTATCACCTACCACGACAACCTGCCGGAGATCCATCTCCCATTTCAGGTTTTCTAAATAGCATCGCAACCATTCGAGAGATGGGGGATCTGTGAATGAGCCTCTCCGGGTTGTCATCGACACTTTCCCTTCCATAGTGAATGCACCGATTAAATACAAATTGTGGCCTCTACTGTTGGCAACTTGCAACAGGCCCTCACTTCCCTGGGCGCCACACCACGAGTCCGTTTGCAGTAAATGTTGAAGTTCACTTCGTCAGTCCAAATGAAGAACTTGCCATCGCTCTCAAGTTGGGGAAACTGCTGAACGAATTCCCTGCGTATCCCTTTGATCCGCACGTTGTTCATTCTCTCGGGAACCTGATAGATGTTCTTCATAGTTAACAATCGACCATTTAGGTGCCGTACGATTGTTGACTTCGAAATGTCCTTGTCCAATTCTGCTTGTACTCGTACTCGCATTTCCCGTAGCGTAAGAGTTGAGTCCCTTGCAATCCAATCCAGGATGTCGTCTACGTCTTACTCCGACAAAATCCGCTTACGACTGCGCGCCTGCGTAGTACTCGGGTTCTGATCAAGAGAACGACGAATACAGGAGTAGGCTGTTTGATATTTGACGTTGTTCACAGTTGCCACAAGCTGCCAGTCATCACCATTGACGAAAGCGCCCAAAACTCGGTCACCAATGTCTGATGAGATACTCTGTCGAACGCGAGAAGGCATGCCGACGAAGTTAAAATCATAGACATGGTTTCGGTCATGCGCTTATGTATCAGCTGTTCAGTGCTCTCAGACCAATTGTGATTCATCGTTTCGGACGTGAGAGGGGCGCATACAAGCCCGTTGCACCGCCCAATTGCATGCCTGTAAGATTTATTCACAAGTCTCACCCAGTCAACGGGCAGCGTGCTCACCTCCCAGACTAACGCACCGAACCTTGGCATCCGGCCAATGAGAGGACACTTATGGTCAGAGGACTGGCTCTGAGCGGCTGGCGAATCGCACAGGGTTTTGCAACATTTGGACTCTCTTTGCAAAGTTTTGGACTTTCTTTGCAACATTTTGCTCTTTTGTCCATATTTTGGACCTTTGATGCAACGTTGCATTAAATGCTATAGTTTTCCTTATGGTATTTAAATATGTCACATCTTTGAACAAGCTACCCGAAATCGTATTTATTAACATGAGTCTGATCGGCTTTTTGTTCTTACTCCTACTCGGTTTGTTTTTATTCAAAACTTAGCGGTGCTTTTTACGTCCCGATTTTTATTGGTATTTTTTGGAAAGCCACACACCGTTTCATACTAAAACTTGCTATGTTGCAAACCGCTTTGATCCAATTTTTTTTAGTTTTTATGATTGTGTAGCCAAGGGGTAACAGTGACTTCAAGTTAAACCTCTATTGGTGTCGTCTAGGAAACGGACAACAACGGGAAGTAATTATAAATCGTTTGTTTTGAGCTTCTAAAATTGTTATCAGGATAACAGCAGGTAGTTACACTATTAGTTTTATACGTTTGGAATATAAGACCCATTCAATCGCTACTATCCTCACACAAACAAATAGCAGATGCAGTTTGAGTAAATTCTGTAACAACTTTGTCTGAGCCTAGCGTCCAGGACACTGTCTAAGTTTCTAGTATCAAAGACACATACATATTCAGCTCAACCTACCTGTGTCATATTTGGCTTGAAATCCAACTGGATATACGTGGTTATTTACCATTAACAACGCCGTCATTTTGTTACTCGTTGATGTAAAATTTGATGTATGCTTGTCGTATACCACTCCGATTCTTTTGGACATGCAGTCAGCGCCGTCAAATATTACGACATAATCAGTTAAAGAGAAGTCATATGTCTCCAGCTGTATGAAAGGAACCAGAACGAAGAAGAATAATGTACTTAATAAAGGTTGCTAGCAACAAACTCTATACGAACTGTTTCGTAAGATTGAAATTTACTTATAAAGCTGAATGATCTGGGAATGAGTTTCCTTGCACTAACCGTGACGGTGGTCTCTGTAAAACCTTTGATACCATATCAAAAATAATCTCACCAGCAGGTCTATTTTGAACCGATATTAGTTATGTAGCAGACATAATACTAAACCACACAGTATAAGCCAAGTATGTGCAGTAGTTCAATAACAGCTGGGTTTACGCCTCACTTTCAGAAATTCAGGCTAAGTTGCTATTTGACCATGCTTTCTTCACATATATTCAGTGTGCTACTTTGAGAAAAAATATCTTAACGCTTTAGCCCAGCTGATAAATGAGAAGAATATTGCTATCTGGCAAACAACATTTTAAATCAGACAGATAAACCTGTATTTGATCACACCTTTATCCAAATAAAGTAGGTAGGATTAATATATTTAAGCCACTACTGCCTTAAAATACCTTGTATGTTTGTTGTGCTTCGTCTCCCATAAAACTGTGCTTAAATTCTGAGTCTCACTTACCTGGACATCTGTGAACGTCAGGTTTACTTGGTTTCCTTGTTGAACTTGAATAAAGTAGTTGCAAAAGCTTTTCGTCTCAAAACTGGATGGGTTCACCTTCTCAATAAAAGTGCCGTCTTTTGAAGTCGTGAAAGAGGAACTACAAGGTGTGCCTGAACTTGCTGCAAAATATAATAAACGTACGATAAAATTCTGAACCCTGGAAATTCACAGTGATTGTAAGCAAAATACTTATTATTATTGGTAAGGAAAATTAGTGCTGTATCTTGATATGGTACAGGAATACCTAATCCAAATGTGTTGGTCATTTTATATAATAAATAGCATGCATAGTTAAGTATAGGTAAATAACTACGGTATACTGCATTATTTCATCTTGCCAATGGAGTAATAACCAAATTTTAGCGTTTAGCTTGTTTTGATACTTTTTACAACTGAGGAATTCGTAAGTGTAAACAACAAAGAAAATTTCAAAATTGTTACCAAATTAGGAGCAGAGCATTACATAGAAAAATGACCAGGCTTTTTCATGAGCGTATATTGAAGACAACTTATCATTTTAAATAAATCTGGAACATCCTGATATATATATCAGGTGAATTTTTTAACGAGAACGCGGAGTATACCACTACAACATCAAAACACTTATATATTTCATGTGGAAGGATTCAGCGTATTCATATGCCGCTATTGTGTATAGTACAGCGCAGGATCCGATGAAGAAAACTTCGTAGCGCGTGCTTTTTCTCGCCATGCTTACACTGTCTGTCATTCGTTGCGTAATCTTTGGTGTAAGTGTCTCCAGTCTAAATTATACAAAGGGAAACGAATTTGACATAATAAGTTGTGAAGGGGTACATAGTTTTCCTCCAGACTTCTCGACCAGGTGGACTTGCTTGAAGCTACTTCTGACGTTTGCAATAGTCTCGAGTGATGTACTGCCTAAACAAACGTATAGTGAATTATCCCTGTTAATTTTCCAAAGTCTTACTGTATTCAAAGATATGAACAGCGGGGTTTTTGAATATCTCTAGTCTGTGTAACAGTTTATTGATTTTGTGGCGCATGTTGGCCAAGCGTTGCTGGCTATGCCTATTTCCTATTGGACTTAATCAGAAAATCAGAATTTTGTAGCATACGGGATTCCATGATCACAGCCAGATTGCTGTATGAACATATATATATTTTTCAGTTTCACTGGTCTTTTATGAATCTGGCAACCCTATGATATAACGCTTGGTGTTTCAGCTGAGAAATACATCAAAATTTGTCGAAGCATTCCTTAAGAAATGGGAAACCACTTGCGTTTAATGTTGTGTGTTTTGAATCTTATCAAGCAGGGGCTTATGTGAAAAAGTAAAGTATTTAGCAGATAAAAAAGGTGACTTCTTTGCTGTGTTTGCCAACATCGTTGGTATAAAACGAAAAATAACAAAGGTCCTGCGTACATATTCCTCAATAAAACCACTGATGTTAGGGTGGGTTGAAGTTTGGTAGCTGAATCGGTCGGTGATTGTTGACTGTTTGTTTGAGATCGGTCTAGAGGCTTGCGATGATATACATCTTTTGCAATGGTCAAGCTCATAGAGCGCGGTGACAAAGTTCCCCGTTTCGAAGGCAGAAAATATTCGGGCACAGTTAGTAAATATCATTAAGTTTCAGCAACCGGGAGAGCCAAATCTTCCGCAAACGGAACGTATCGCATTAAATTCCCTAAGGGAAGATCGCAGTATTGTACTTACAAAAGCTGACAAGGAAAAAACCCTAGTTGTAATGAATAGGTCGGAATACTTGGAAAAATTGGGACAACATTTGGAGACGGGTCCATATAGAGTAGTTGTTGATAAGACCGTGGCGTCAGTAATGAATAAGAGTAAAACGGAGGTTGGTAACTATTTAAAAACCGTGAAGGACGATTTAGGAGTAGGCAAGTGGTACAGTATATACCCAAAATCGACTTTACCTCCGAGGATTTATGGCTTGTCAAAAGTTCACAAGCCCGAAGTTCCCGTACGGCCTATAGTCGACGGTATAGGCTCCCCAACCCATGAACTTGCGAGATATTTCGCAAGGCTATTGCAGCCTCTAACAGGGCGAACGAGTACATTCGTGAAAAACTCTTATGATTTCGCTCAAAAGATAGCAAATCTCCAAATTGAGTCAGATGAGTTAATGGACAGCTTCGAGGTCACATCACTGTTCACAAATGTACCTAAAGAGGAGGCGCTAGGAATAGCGAGACGTCGTCTAAATGAAGATGTCACTCTGAATGATCGGACGAAACTAACAGTTAGCCAGAGAATCGAGGGTATGACAGTGTGTCTTAACATGTCTTACTTCGTTTTTCAGTCGAAGCTTTATAGTCAGGAACAAGGTCTCGCCATGGGATCGCCAATATCCCCGGTACTGGCGAACCTATATATGGAAGAATTCGAGAACAGGGCGTTAACAAACAACCTTAACTCACTCAAAGTTTGGTGGCGTTATGTAGACGACACCTTTGTACTTGTTAAACGGGATAAAAAGGACGAGCTACTTGATCACTTAAACTCCATTGATGAGAGAATACAGTTTACTATTGAGTTAGAAACTTGCAGCGGCACAGTACCGTTTCTTGATTGCCTGGTTCACAGGAATGGGGGTAATTTAAAGACGACAATATATCGCAAGCCAACGGATACTGATGGCTTACTCCACTACACCTCGGGTCATCCGAAACAGGTTTACGCTGGGATAGCCTCAGCGCTTTTCTACAGGGCACAAAATTTGTGCACAATGGAGGGGCGCAAAAAGGCTGCGCGGAAAGTGGCAATGGGCAAACTATTAGAAAGTGGTTACCCAAGACGGCTAGTTAATCGCCAATTGCATAATGTGCTATACCCGCAGTCAAGCCCCCCAGCTGAGTGGATAGGGACGGTCGGAATTCCGTACAAGGAAGGCACTTCGGAGGCAATTCGGAGGGTATTAAACAAGGAAAATATAAGGGTGATTTTCACCGAGGTCGAACGTTACGTTCGGCGCTGGTACACCTGAAGGACCCGCTTCCCAAGGATAGGACGACTAACTGTGCTTATAAAATTAAATGTAAGGACTGTGCACATGTGTACATAGGCCAAACAGCGAGAGAATTACGCACACGAATTTCTGAGCATAGGAGACGCATTGCAAGACTACCAAGAAACGAGTTTGAATATCAGGCAATAATAAGAGACTCGGCCGTAGCTGTGCATGCATTAGACACGGGTCACCAGATAGACCTCGAAAACGTAGAGGTAATTAGGATGGGTATCCGATCAACCACTCAGCGGTTGATTGCCGAGGCAGTGGAAATTGCCAAATCTGACGACTGCGTGAATAGAATGGAGGGGGTAAAAATTCCTAATGCGTGGGGGGTGGTCTTATGCCAACCAGCTTGACGAGCATCGATGCATGGATCAGATTGAAAAGTGCAAACCGACTCCCATTGTCAACACTATGGGCTTATCCGTCAATGTCATGACGCACAAAGGAACACCTGGACTATTCCTACTGTGATTGAACCACCTGAGGTGACATCCCGAACTTTTCCTGTAATGAATCATGGCTCAATATTTGGGTAACGCGGTTATCGCCCCTGTTCGCTATAAAATCCTACACCAATTGCACACGGATTCATCTGGTCTGACGAAGCCTTTATGTTAAAGGCGAAACGTTACCAACCTATTATACCAAACCGATTGTTTCCAAATCTCTCTGAACTCATGACTACTCAATCGGTTCCAAGTATCTTCCAAGAATTTCAAGCTCATAGTTAGTTGTTTAAAAACATTTAACCAAATTAATAATAAACCAGTTGCGCCCATTTCAATAACAGTTGAAATGATGTCCTCTGAATCAATCCTGTTGGACCTTTCGTTAACGATTTTATTTGCTGAACGTTGATGAAAAACTTGCTGATATCGCATAAGCTTCTGGTCGTTATGGATTGATGCAAATCGAAAATAGGGTCATGTACAACGGTTATATAGGAAGTAAAGTTGGTTCTAAACCCTTCATAAAAAGCATATGATTCACTAAGGTGGTTCCTACGTGCAATCAGCAGCCCGGTGATGCCGAAGGATCGGTCGCTAGTTCTACGACAAGGGATTGCAACGGACTTCTTCGTTAGTAACGCATAGCTTTCAGATCTCCGCGAAACTTGTGCAGCAATCTTCCACTACACCTTTGACATACTATATGCGTACGGCGACTAAGACAGCGTGAGTAACAACCGATCCGTTTCCAGTACACTGATGCCAAGCCGTACTAAACCAGCTGAGCTCTACTCGGGAGAAGGATAAATCAAGTGCACAGGCTCTCGTGAACTTAAATAAATTCTACTCATAACACTCATGTTTATATTGTGCGAAATCTTGGTGAATCAGTTGAGATAATAAGTTGCTGCGGTAAATAACACACAAAACCGTACTGAAACTAAGCAAAATTTAACAAGGACACTGACACTTGAAGAAAAAGGTACGCTTTGTGAAATACACTTCTCTCTTAACTGTGGCCGGAATGAGTCTACCCATTCCCTGGACACACCGTAACTTGCCACACATTGCGCCCCCAGAGAGAAAAACCCCGAGGAGTTCTGACGACATTCCGGAGACATGATCGGATCTCACACGATTCACTAAGCACAAAAGTGAGGCGTCTGCGTACAGCAACTTGCACAGCGTTTCATGCGATGAGGCGTAGACTAGGGAAACTTGAACGAATAGATACATTTTGGTCAGGGTTTGAGAACAGAATGTTTCGCGGAAAAATGGATGCCTGTGAGATCTGTACTGACCAATGGTTAGCCGTAGCAATGAAGTTATCGTTACGTACAGGGTCTAACGTGGTAAAAAATGAACACTGTGTTGGCGGATAAAAGTACACGTGGTGTACAACTGTTGCGAGTTCGTCGCAACTATGTTCCCATTAAAGTAGTCAGATTGACATACACGTGAGAAACACGTTTCAATTTACCTGCATTTGTGTAAAGGTACTGTTAAAACAGAGTAACGTTGGACAAGCCAAGGAACTGCAAACTAACTCTAAAGAAAAATTTAGATAAAAAGCACCACATTCAACTAGAAATTTCTTATTAGGAATCATAACGATTTGTTAGCATTTTGCTTTCCTCTTAAATGAGACA